ACAATCAAGTGAAATTTTGTGCGAGAATTCCCAGAGCCCTAGACATTGAGTTGTAAATCAAGCTAATTGGATGACATTCTCGAAAAAAAAACCAATCACATCGATTCACACACACTGATTTACAGCTCTTCCAATAATGTTGGCCGAGAAGATGCTTCAAGGTAACTTACATTTTCTATTGTTAACGTGCGTTGATACAAGGTGTGCATCTTGGGGCGAATTAGAGTGCACCCCGTCTTGCAAATGAAGGCGTCGCATTGATATGCTTGTCAGTCCCTGAAATTTCTGCCAGACTTATAACTGTTTTCTATTTCTGTTATTCGCACCACGACTTTCCGATCAGAAAATTCGCAGTCTATCTACTTGAGCCATCTCGTATCGTCAGTGTTATCGTCGAAGAATTGAACCTAGGATTTTTGGTAGCTTCATGTATGTTTTAGAGCAAACACCCAGCCATTGCCACTCCGCGTATCGGGCCCCAACTTCGTCGCCAAAATGTGGAGTTGTATGGAAATAAATATACATGAGGGCCTCTTATTAAACTGAGACTGAAATTACCCGCAGTTGACCCACTAAGCCCTACTCAAGACATTATTACAAATACGTTCAGTTAGACGCCAGGGATCGGGCATTTTCAAAAAGGGGGAATGAAAGAGCCAAAACGCATTCAACTTCGGAAAGCATACATTTCAATTCTTGGACTAAAATCGTTGACAGTGCCTTACTACCGCATTGTCCTTTGACGACGAAATGCAGTTAGAGCATGTGAAGTGATATTCCGCAGCAACGCGACTGATTGGAGCGCATCCCAGGAACTACTTAGAGCTGGTAATGGGCAACTGAATATTGTCAGGCGCACCGGGATCGCACTAGTTGTCCTGAAACATTGCCTTACAAATTAAGAAAACAGATTTTAAGGCCCGTTAAAGAAATATCCAAATGCTTCACAATTGTAGATTCTCCGTTTGCACATTTGATGAATAACCCAGATGAGATAGGCGTGGGATTACATAGATTTTCGATCAAACTGCCTAGTAGATTTACAACTGTGCTTCGGATAGCCTTGATGCTAATATATGAAGGGAACATGCAGTCGTAGAAAAGCCCCGGGAGAACATTTTCTCCGGAACTCAGTGATGGCGAGTTAATTACACGTGCATGGTGATTCTTGAATAAATCCATTCGATAATCTTTTTTCCAGTTCTCCCAAGGCGTACATTTGCGAAGGTAGAAATCAATAAGTTTGATTCTCCCTCCTTGATATTCTCAAAAGTCCCACATTTCCAGGTAAAAGTATAAATAATCAAAAGGGAGACAGATAAAATGTCATAAGGTCACATGACTTGATGCGCCTAGTTTAAACAATATGACCATACTGTCGAAAACAAAGCGAAAAAAGCCTACCCTTGATTACAGAACCAAACTTGGCAAACTAGCTGATCAGTCAACCACCCGTTAACACTGGTTAACCTGGTTGCTCTGCCTACGTGCCCCTAGTCTACAACTTACAGCTTACCCGATTCAACCCAGTTATCACACCGCCCGCCACCCTTGAAAGTGCTGCTAGAATATTCCCAGAAAGTTCCTGTATGTTCACGACGAATCAATGTCTATTTGTGGTTCCTTTTGGAAGAACTACAAAACTCTGACTTGACTGCTGAAACTGTCCTGGGTATGTGATTTTATCACCACTTATTGTTTTATCACAAGATATATAAAATATTACTTCGATTGTAGCTGTTTCGACCGCATGAAAACCCATGGAAGCCGGTGTCCCATTGGACAGGCTTGATGGGATGCCTGTATCAGATATTTCATCCCGTAGGTTGGACACAACGGCTGGCGCACGTTTAAATGTAGGGTTGGGTGCTCCGACCGTTGCACCGGACACCGGGTGGAATCTGCGTTCCATTGTGGCTGTTACGCAGCACATATTATTTTATTGCCTAAGGTAGCAATGTGTTTAGTATAACTGGATAAAGACAATGAAGTATCGTAAAAGATTAGTTGGCAGGTTTTACCAGTTTCATATAT